CATGTTCTGCAAAAGAATCACATTCTGCATGTGGTTGTGTTGTACCTTAGAAACCTTTTTGCTTTTGTTACTTAAGACCATTTGTTTTGACAATGGAAGATAAAGTAAAATGGAAGTATTTAGGAGAATTAGATAACCTCACAGCATATATTCCTTGCAACGACAGGGACATATATTGCTAATGCAAACCTTCCTCTTGACTCTGATAAACAATTCATGCTGCTATGTATCATTCTTTAACACCATTGGCTGCATTTTTTGTTACCCTTGTCATGTCTAGAAACTTCTAACCTCCGGTTTTTGTGACTAATGCGAAATGTCTTGCTATTTTGGTGCAGAAATAGGAGCTCTTTGAGCTGGAGCAAGTGGCATTGATAGCCTGCTAATGGGGAAAAAAAAGACAAGTCTCAGTTTCCTCTTCTGTGCTCAGTGTTAGTGAATAATTAATTGGCCATTGAGAGACTGGGGTGTTGTAGCACTAAAGTTAGGAATGTAATATAGGGAAGGAAAAGCAAAAAAGAAACAGGTTTGATGCCATGGTGATAGCGGTAGCAATGCAACCCAACACCAAAAATTGTCAAGGAAACAATTTTATTAGGATTTATTTTTGTATGAAAGGCTTTACTGCTGGCGAAACAGTAAATCACATTCTTAATCACTAGTAACTGCTCTCAAAGCATTTGGGAAATTAGTTTGTGGGATCAGGGGGTTTCTAATCTGTATTAAGTTAGATTTCATTGTTTACAATGAGAATCATTGATGGAGCCCTTTAAATGTCTTACTGAAGTAATTAAAATAGAAGAATAACAGATCTTTTTGCAGGCTAGAGATTCAATTAAACTCACTTGTTTGAGGGGAAACAATGGCAGCTGGAACTGGCATTTTTGGCATGTAATTATTCGTGGAAGCTTTCATTTCTTTATACAGTAGCTGTTTTCAACTGTATTGTACTGCACCTACACTATAATGGAGCAGGGGGTGTTGGAGCTGTGCTTTTATCAGTTGAAAAAGGTGTTAGCTAAATAACCGCTGGCATGGCAAGTGAACCTTTTTTTTAACATTTCCAAACCCAATATAACTGTCACGGATGTCGGAAGGGACGAACCGTGGAATGGCAGGAGAGCGGAAAAAGACCCTATGCGTAGCGGCAGAATGGGGAATTACAGTAGCCCGGATTCAGCAGTTCAGGAGTTCTGGAATTGCTGTATAGAAACCAACAGTATGCCTTCAGGCCACGGACGGAGCTGCGACCCGGTGCAAGGCGGGTCTCAGGACATCCGAATGTCAATGCTGAGCGAAGGTGAATGAGTGACCCGGAAATATATAGCCCCAGAGAGAGAGACACCGGAAGGACAGCAAAGCACAGGAAACTAGGGACAGGACAGAGTAGGAGTGCCCTCTGGCTGCAGAGGGCGTGACAATAACAAACATATGCATTACATTCCCAGTATAGCTATTAAGCAAGTTCACCTGACTAGTAGGGAGAAATGATTGCATTTCATGAGTCTGTGATCTTGCAACCACCTTGATATATCTCTGGACATATTTTTTACTTTCTTTGTAAAGAACAATTTTAATATGATATCTATGAAAAACAGATGGTTTCTTCTTGTATCACTTCACTACAGTGAGAAGTGTTTTACACAATGCATTTTGGAGGTGTTGGTATAAGGGAGTGAGGTTTTATAACACAGAAGTTGCAATGTCCACAATGCAAACTGTGACTGGAACTTTGGGCCCCTGCTCAAGGAGATGGTGCATGAAAACATCCTTCTGCTAAGCTGTCAGAGAAATTCACCATTCGGGCAGTAAGGTTTCAATATTAAACTGTGGCAGCTGAAAGAAAGGTGAACTATGTTGAGCAAATAATCATGTTAACCACCATCTTCATTTTGTCAAATGTACTGACAGGCTAAAACATTCTGGAGGTCAGATCACATTGTCACAAATATCTGGTCAACCTGCCTGAGTGGCTGGAATGTGATAATACTTCCATTTACCTGTAGACTAGAGTTGCCTCATTTTTCCCATTCTTCCCTGTCTTCCTTATTCCCTATTGACTCCAAATGAGCTCATAGATATTGTTTAATTTGCAGTAGCTTTCAAAGTCTTTTGTCAAGCCTCTCTTAAAATAATCTTCAAGCTTCTCTATTACGGGGTCTTTCGGAAATCCTTTCCAATAGAAATACTGTATGTGGTCCACATTGATTTTTGGACGGGGTTATCAGCCAGAACCAAAGCTTCATACCTTTTTAGTAGTCAGGACTAGACTCTTTTCTGATGCGCGTCATGGTATTGAGGTCTCATAAAGGGTAGAAATCCTTTTGTTTATGCCCCCTACAGAAGTGCAAGTACTTCTTTTTTTGTCCAGGGGTAAGAGGCCCCTCTTAAATAGTCAATTTTGAATGAATGACAGTCCTGTTCCTGAGCATGGAATGGCTTTCTATTCCCACTTAATGAGCTTTTTGAATGTAGCCGGGTCAGAAAGGGAACTGTGTGAGGCTTTGGAGCAGCTGTGGATATCATCAAATTGAACTAAAAAAAATTGAATTTAATAAACCATGTTTTTAATTAACTAGTGAATAGCATATTTGGAAATGGAGTGTATGGACACTTATGTCTTGCTGAACACTTCTACAGCATAACATATACATGTTAATATGTACATGTTAATAAGATCTGGTACAGAAAATGTGTGGGATACCTCTGTATCATCAGCGTATTACCTCCACTAGGAGATGGGGATTCCTGAGGGCAGGGAGCTGGTGATTTAATGGGAGAGAGAGGAACAAGAGAAGGTTTCCCACCTGGGGAGCATGTTAATGACGGGGTGAATGGGAGAAAATGTTATGTTTTCTAGTGTATTTTGTATTCTTTGTGCCCCACCCAAAAAATAGAAAAATCGGAAAACAATAGATTACACAAAATATGTAATCGGGTAATGTAATATAACATTAAAAAATAATTGAAGGGATTTTATAGGGCATATCGGCACATATGTCAGTAGTGTACTGTATGTTGCGTAGTTCATATGCTTCCATTTGCAGTCACAATAAGGCTATTTTTCATAGAGAAAATGAAAGTCTTAATATATCAAATTATTTGTTTTCATTAACGTTTGTTGTACATCTTAAAATTCCAATTAAAATGAGTACTTCATGTCTGCCACCACCCTAACAGCTAAACAGCTATATTTAAATATCCCAAGTTAATATTATTGTTTGTCTTAAATTGTATTTTTTTTTTGTTTTCCTAACCCGGTGCCAAATGACAGGAACTGGAAAATTTAAAGCTATCTTTTGCTCAATAGCAATGATCCAACCGATCATTTTGCTTTGCTTCTAGAGGAAAACAGCATGTTTCTCAGCATTTAAAGTCTATTGCTGAATCACATGACACTGAGAAGGAGTTGTGACACAGAGATTAAATTTAGTGTCTGTTTTACAGTGAAACTGTTAACCATTCAGCTTATTACAACCAGAGACCTACACCTGTAACATATAGCATGTCTATAACATGATTATTATTTTGTAGAGATTGAAGTAGGCTACAAATTTTAAGTAGTTGCAGGAAATAATGCTGAAATAATACTGAATGCTATATTTAACACAGTGCAAATTTTAGGAGCATAATACTAAAACTACACCCCATGGAATTTAAGGGAACTGGCATGTTAAATACAGTACGGTATATTTTAAGTGCAAAGCTCTGTGCTTCTACTGCAATATAGAGTTAGTTAATTACAAGAGATCTAATGAATGTGTTCACACCAGAGCAGTAAGGTCTCAGTGCTTCTGCGAACTCTTAAAATGAACAGTAATATAGCCATGATTTAAGAGTCCCATGGGAAAAGACGTCTGTATCACAATTACTTGCAAAAACCATTACTGACTATTACAATTGAAGGGTGACCTGTGAAAAAGCTGCATTAACCACTCTTAAGTGTTCAAAAAGTGTTCTAAAGTATTCAGAAACCTTTGTGACTTGAATTCTGATTTCTGACAGGGAAGCCACTGAGAGAGGTTCCATATTGGATTGCAATATTAAATTTAGTTTTGGGTGGAAAACGTTGTTATAATGCAATATACAGTACCACAGTCCCATTTTGTCTTATGTTCAGATCCCTAATGTAAAACCTTTCAAAGTCTTACCTCAAGAGGAAACCATTTCTTGTTTACAGCTGTGCTCTAAGTCTCAAAGTAATCTCACAGTTGCAACCCAGCACATTCTTTGGCCCCTACAAATTAAATGTCAGTAACTGTCCTATAAGTAGAAACAGCACCTTTTAATGGATCTGGAGATTGATTATGGAATTCATCTTCTATTTTATAGCATTCTTCTTTTCTTGAGTTTTTACTTGAAAAATATTTCATGTATTCTATCAAGAGATAGCCCTATTACTTATCATTTTAGTTGACATAACTTAATTATTGTGAGTTAGTTATTCCAGTACAGTCCTTTCTAAAAGTATTGTATTCACACTCTTCTACTGACATCCTATTTTATTGAATTACAAATGATGTACAAATGATTTTTAGTGACTGTTTTTAATCAAAACCCAAGTGCTGAGACTTCATACTTTCATGTGTAAAAGAAGTTAAATGTTAACTTAAAACGCATAGAAAAAATCAAAACTAAAATATGTTTGCTGATGTGAATTAATCGAATAACCTAAAGTATATGTGTAATAGTGGTTTCCAAGTTTTCAGAATAAATACACATCTGAAGTGTTCCTTATTTTAGCCGTGAATATCAAGCGCACCTTCAACCATGAAGACCAACAAATTCTCATAATATATCTTGGATGAAGATTTAGAATGACACTGCCTTTACCTTCAAGCCCAGTAGTCTGTCATTTGGAACTGGAAGGTGTATCATAGGACCAAGAAACAATAAGGCCAACAGTTATTTTGAGACAATCTAGAGTTCAGTTTTGGAGATGGCCTCCCATCTACAAAGTGGCTTTGAAGTTAACAAAGTGCAATGTCCCTTTGTTACAGGAGTGTGTGGCTGCTGTGGTCCCCTGCGACCTCGATACAAACGGTTGGTGGACAACATCTTTCCTGAAGACCCCAAAGTAAGTGCCTGTGTCAGAAAACGTCAAAAATAAAAAGGTTGGGCATTGGAAGTAGCAGCAGATCACAGCTTCAGAATTTGTCTTAAGGCACCATTAGGACATGTGCAGAAAATCAGGTGGTGTTCATTTATATATGATTTGAACTTTGGAATTTGTTACTATGCAGGTCAAGGAAGCATGTTTTTTTTTATTTATATAGTTTATTCTAGCTTGGGTCTTTCTACTGACTCAACTCTTGCAGTCTTCTAATTAGTGATACTCTGAGGGCCCTTTAGCAAATAGTTTGCTTTTCCAAGAACTCATTTCATAAACCATTCAGGTTGTCACATGACCTTCTCTGGGTGGAATCTATGAGCAGTCTACATTGACAACCAGCTCGAGAGGGGTGCCATGCAGAGGTCATGTGAATTTATGTATAATTCAGCAGATAATTTGCATGGTGAAAAAGCAAAATAACACTACAAATAAATTGAGTTTTAGAAACATTTTAAATTAGAATTTTATAGAGAACAAATTAAGAAAATCTGATCAGTTACAAAGGTCGTTTGTACCATCTAGCCTGTTTGATAGCTAGGAGATATTTGGTCCAAGGATCTCATCCAGACTTTTTTTGAAAGCCAGAGTATCAGCTTCAACAACATGGTTAATCTGATTATACACTGTTGAGTTATAATCAACATCTGCAAACACAGTACCTTTGGAATACTGTATTTAGATCAAAATGTTTACATTTATCATCCACCACAAGTAACAAAGCTTGTGCTTGGTGGAGGGTGAACATGCTTGTAGACCAGGACACATCTAGTACTGTAGGTAAAGAACTGAACACCCATCGGTAACAAGAAATTATTCTGTGGAAAGTTACTGAAAGATCCAAAAATTCCACCTCCTCACGAGTTAAAAGAAGCCATTTCATGGAGCTTAAGATCTTGAGTTTTTATTGTCTTTACTGATTTCAGAAGTGTAGAGATATAAACTATAAAAGAGTAGTGGTAAGAGAGTAAATAATCCTGGAGGACATCTGCTTGGATACAGAAAACAGCATTTTTTATCATCTTTGATTGTTTTAATACACGCTTTTGTCTTTGTGCAAATAATTTAATATGGCTTCCAGCATCTTTAAATACAGTTTCTATAGAATGTCTACACACTGTGCAGTTTGCAAAATAACCACCATCTAGATTGTATGGTCCCCCGTGTGGTGCAGACAGCTTTAACATCAAAGGGCTTTCAGAGAGTCCATAGGGGCTTTCGCTAAAACCCACAATAGAATCTTTCAGGAAAAGGAGCTGTGGATCAGATAGTCGTGGTAGATTCCCAAGTGAGCTATCACAGGAAAGTGTCTGCATTTCTAGCCTGTCAGAAAAGGGCTGCTTTTGGCTTTTCTGTTCTTGGCTCATTGTTGACCTTCTCGTGGACTAGAGGAACTCCCTATATACTGGCTGTCAAATGTATTCACTCCCCTTAGACTTCTCCACATTTTACTGTTGTACAATATAGAATCACAATGAAATTATATGGGATTGTTTGCATTTGATCAACACAAAACACTCTTTAATGTCGAAGTGAAAACAAAATTCTATAGATCCTCCTAAATTAATGATAAATAAAAATCATAAAATAAGCGGTTTCCTAAATATTGACTCCCTTTACTATGACTCAACTAAATGGGCTCTAGTCCATTCAAATGTCTTTAGAAGTCACATAATTTGTTGAATGGAGTCCACCTGTGTACAATTAGGGTGTTTCACATGAGTTCAGGATATACCCATCTTTGATGAATGAGTACAGCTCCCAACAAAAACTACATCATGAAGACAAAGGAACTTTCAAAATAATGTAAGATAGGGTCATAGAAAAGCACCAATTAGGGGAAGAGTATAAGAAGCTTTCCAGGGCATTACATATCCCCTAGAGCACAGTAAAGTCCATTATAAAGAAATGTAGATAATATGACACAGCTATGAAACTGCGAAGACTCAAAAACTGAGTTTCCAGGCAAGAAGAGCATTAGTCATGGAGGCCCCTTGAGCCCTGTGAATTACATGGAAGAAACTGTGCATATAACAGTTTTGCCATGGTGCAATTTTTGAAGCGTAAAGTGAATCCCCCTCTGTACCATGAAGCCTGGTGGTGACAGTATCATGCTATAGTATAGGTAAGCTTCGCTGCTTCAGGGCCTGAAAGATTCGTGAAGATAGAAGGAAAAATGGATGCAGCAAAGTAGAGAACAATCCGGGAGGAAAACCTGCTGCAGTCTGCAAGAGTCATGGAACTTGGGAGAGGATTCATCTTCCAATAGGGCAATGCTCCATCAGCCCGTATGCTGGAATGGCCCAGTCGCAGCCTCGATCCAAACAAGAATCTGTAGCAGTTGAAAATTGCTGTTCATCAACATTCCCCATCCAGCCTGAAACGGTTTGAGAATTTGTGCAAACAAAATGGGCAAAAAATTGCAGTGTCCAAATGTGCAATAGCTGGTAGAAACTTTTCAAGAAGGCTTATGGCTGTTATTTTTGCAAAATGTGCCTCTACCAAATATTGTCTCACAGCGGGTGAATACTTACTGTATGCAATCAGTTGTTTTCCATTTAATGTTTATAATTGCTTTAGGCGGTTCTGTAGAGGAGTTTTTCCCCCCACTTTGATATTAAAGACTTTTCAGTCAATCAGTAGCAAAATCTCCCAGTTAAATACATTACGATTCCATATTGTAACAATAAAATGTAAAAAAAAGTTGAAGATGGTTGTATATTTCTGGTATTGACTGTAGCCATCTTAGGAAACTGCCACTAACAGGTGCCCCTTTGATGGTCGCATAGCAGGCACCTGCACACAAGCCCAGCCCTGATATGGGAGATTAATCGACCCAGGGAAGCACCTCAGTGTTCCACTCCATTGCCTTCCCTGTAGTCACCCTTCTACTGCACGTTTAATTCCCCGACAAAATTCCACAGTGGCGTAAAACTTCTCATCTGCTCGATTCCATTTGACTGTATTTCTCTTTACCAGCAGGCCAACACAGAAAAGCCGGAGGCTGCTACTTAATAAGAAAAGTTTAAATCTTACTTCTGCTCCCAGTGAAGTAGTCGTAAACCTTTTATAGATAGATACTTTATTGATCCCGTGATGGAAATTGCAGTGCAACAGCAGCTTAACACAGTCAACACAAAACAGTGTAATGAATGATACAATAATAATAATACAATACGTACAATACAATCAGTACAGTGACTAGTGCACTAAGAAGAGTTACTCACAGTCCAGAACATACAAAGAACAAACCAGAACAGTACACAAAAAGTTGTATTGCACAAGTCCTTGGCATCTATTGCGCAAAAAACGGTTGTAAACAGGAAAGTCAGATGTGGCAGACAGTTTACTGTTCAGTCCAAAAACAGGTCAATGTCAATGTTGCCCCTGCCCAGACGCAAAGTGGATGCATTGTACAGTCTTATGGCAGAAGGCAAGAATGACCTCCTGTAGCGCTCCCTGTCGCACCGTGGATGGATAAGCCTCTTATAAGTTTCCCCTAAAGATCTCACCCTGAGATCATACACTCTCACTGTACCAAGCAACTGTGAGGGTCGGGTTAGACAACCTCTGTCTCCTCAGTGAGTTCCCTCATAGAGAACTGGCATCCACAGGTGCAACCAATTATAGTACCTAATTTTATCGTGTGAGAATGTGAGGAATGTTCCTGGGTGAAAACTGTGCCCTCGAGCAGTTCAACCCCATGTCTACAGTCCCATCCCGGGTGCCCTGTTTCACTGCTGTCTATTCAAATTTGAATTTTGAAACTATTTCTGACAAAAGAAAAAGCTGAGTATTGGATATGCCGCTGTCTTGGCCTGAAGTCACCAGAAAGTATCTGCTGCACATCGCCTATATGTGGCACTTATGTGCTGAACCTGGGGATGCTATTACTTGGACAGCAGTGTTAACAGCTTCTTCCCTGGTTGTATATGAAAATGTAAGCAAAGCTGGGCCTGTTCAATTCTTGGATGGACACCTCCAAACTGTAAGTCTAAATATGTGGCACTATTCCCTCTGCCCCACAAATTCTGAAACGACTGCCACAGTATGATGAACTAGGACAATGTGTTACAATACTGTAGGTCTCTGTCCTTTGGATGTGATTTTAAACTGAGGTCCTTCACTACTTATCATTTAAAGATTCCATGGTACTGTTTACAAGAGTATTTATATTAACCCGGTGTCCTACTGTATACACTCTGGGCTTGTATGATCTTGTCTCCCTGAGGGTTCCCCTTAATTCCCCCTAATTCAGTAGGTAGATAAATAAGAAATTGTTTTGCTACCTAATCTGAAATGGAGCTATTAGCATTGGAGTTTAAAGGTGAGTAACATCACCCAGGTGGGTGCTGCATTTCAGAGGGCAACAAATTGGGTCTTTTTCTATGTGTAAATTGGTTTGGGAACCTTTGCAATGAAAAGCGCAATATAAATAAAACACAGCATATTGCTTTAGGCTTGTGCTTTCTTTTAAGTAATTAAATACTGTATGTTTAGTTCATCTTTTCATTAGCAGTGTTTAATCCATCCTGAAAACATGGTTAAGATTAATTGTCATCACCAGTGCTCTTGGTGGCAGTACCAGTAACCATGATTGGTCTGTCTCTTTGACAGATGCTGCCTCAGTTTTGATCATTTAATATGTTATTCCCATTAATATTTCTGTCCTTCCCAATCCCAGACATACACAGCTTTGTATTTTTTCCACTCACAGAACCACACTGAAGAGACTATACTGTCTCATTGTAGCAGAACAATTCTGGATTGTAATTGGCTTCCATGTGATTTGTGTGATTATGTTTAATGGAGAGATTATCATGTTTATTTGTTTAGATCAGAATTTTAACTAAATGTCTAAAGATTTTATAAACACAAATACAACATGGAAATTAATTAACAGTTCAGTTTCTAGGGATGCAGATATTTCAGTTTCATTTTTCATGTTTAATTAGTAGGATAATGCTAATTTAAAAGGTGTATAAGACCATAATAAAGGATAAATACAATAAGTGGCCATTCAACATATTTCCTGAACATTTGCTGTAGAGTGTCATAATGTTAAATTGGTCAAGACCCTGCTGAATTGTAATATTTCTGAAATTACAGGTTTTTATATTTCTCAATGGCTGGGATTTTTACAACTAGGATTATTTAAAAGAAAAGTTAAGCAATATTCATGCAGAAACAGACCAGAATGGCACTTATTATGAAATAATATAAATGGAGGATATCATTTTAGAATTAAATTAATGCTTTTGTTACAGAATATCAGAAAAAGAGAACTGAACAAAAATGAATATGACACAGAAGAAAAATACCCTCAGGAAAAATTAGCATACCCTTTAAAGAAGTTTAATTTCTGCATGAAAAGGAAAATTCAGAGTGCATAATTTTGACTTTTTCAAAAGAAATGGATTCAGTTCCGTTTAGGATATGTAAGTGGTAATTAGCTTGCCTTGGCAGTTTGTTAAAATAAAAAAATACTTTCTTGAAATATTAAGTCTCTTGAAATATTTTTTCTGAAGTTTTGTTACAACAGCATTGGTCTGTGCATGTTTCTTTGGAAACATTCCTTGACGGTGTGTTCCTGGAAAAAAAATTAAGGAAGCCCTTTCCTGATGTTCACTGCTGTGCTGTGATAATAAGAGAGTATGATTCCATTCTCTGCTGTAGACTTCTCTCAGGCCACCAGCTCATCCAGCGGTTTCCAGGTGCTGTTTTCTGTTTGTCTACCTGTGGGTTAGCTCTGTCCAGGTGTCAGTGTATGGCCATGGCACAACTTTGCTTATCCCACTTTCTGACTATGGCTGTCCTTCCAAAAGAAGGTAAAATGGGAAATAAAATGAAAAATACACACATTTGTGCTTTTAGTTGTCAGAAAAATTTAGCTTAAGCCTTGCAGCTATTTCCAAATCAAAGCTTTACTGCAGTAAGCGTACTCTATAAAAACATATTTTCAGACTAATTAAAAATAAAGAAGTGTTCTGATCTATTTTGAATCTGGGTGCCTTACTGTGTTATGAATTAAATCCCTGAAGTGTTTCTTGCCGTTTCCCAGGATGGCTTGGTGAAGTCGGACATGGAGAAGTTGACATTCTATGCCGTGTCTGCTCCTGAGAAGCTAGACAGAATTGGAGCCTATCTGGCAGAGAGGCTCAGCAGAGATGTGGTCAGGCATCGCTACGGGTAAGGACCTCTGTTGAACCCAGACACTTTGACATTCGCTACGAGCACTGCAGAAGGAACAGGCTCCCCAGAGGAGCTGTTCTGGAAAGAAGAAAAAGGACAGCTAAATTAAAGTTATGCCTTTGCAGTCTGCTTTGGAATGTGCTTTTCAGCATGAGGTCACGTCTTTTGAAATATTTGTTGGCCATGTGGGGTAGCATGTGGATGAATATTGCGAGTCATTTGATTTGAGCATTAGGAAAGCAGTAAATTAGGGAGTTACAAAGGAATGCTGTCCAAACAAGCAGATTTACAGTGTAGGAAAAGGTACTTGTTTACGATCTACTCGCAGAATGATGCATTCAAACACAATTTCTGCCAAATTTAGCATGGGTCTCGTTAGCTAAAAAAATAATAATGTGATTCAAGAGTCATCTTACAGTAAAATGCCACCAATTACTAAGGAAGCATTAAAATTAATCTATTTAATGGAGTTTTTCTGGGCACATCTGCTGTTTTAATTGTTTTATGCATAGTATTTTTATAACCATGACATTTTATGCTAATTTTGAGAAAGTTCTGTCTGTTCTATGACTGTAGCAACTTAATAGCTTAATGTAGTAAGTGAATGAAAATGATCTGTCCCAGTCAAAAAAAAAAAAAGGAAATGCAATTTATAGAATTCATTATATAGTAATACTTTAATAATCTCTTACTTTATATGACAAAAACTAAATTTTATGCAGTTACTGAAACTGCCCTTAACTATGTGGGCATTTCTTTTTTCTCTCAGTGCTCAAGAGTTTATTATTTCCTCATTACTCAATACGCCAAACAAATATAGAATTGTAACATACTGCTCAGTAGATGGGAAAGAACACTATATCCATGTTTGCTTTTCACTTATTGTTGCTAAGAAACAAAGGTCTGCTGTACAGTGTATCTCATTGGATAAGGTTGTATAGAGACTGCCTGGAAGCATAGTTTGTAGCTTCTTCATCAATCAAAAAAAATATTCCTGCCAGAATGTGATTAAAAAACATGAAGGGTGACCTGAAAGGTATTTGTTTCATAAAAATATACATGGAACCCAAACTAATTTATTTAATCTAGTGTGAAGGTACAGTAAAAAAAAAAATAGAAATATTTGAAAGAGGGAAAAAAAAAGCATATTTCTTAAAGCTTCAAGAAGAACTCATTTCCATGAAGCAGTTTGTTGTTATCCAACCATATTCTAACCCATATCCAATAAAGGGATCTATCTTGGAAGCAAAGAGCGCAAGACAAGTTACACCCTAGCAGTATGTCTTGGCCTGTGGGAGGAAACCAGACCACGCCTGTTGAACTCGGGAATTGAACCCAGGGCCCCAGTGCTGTGAAGTGTCAATGCTAACCACTCTGCCACTATGCTGCCCTAGTTTGTTACTGTTTACCTTGTGAGAGGTAGACGGGAATAATTGATGAAAAGTATCATTACAAGATGACTGAGAGTTTTTAGAAATTAGAAATATTTAAGATATCGCATGTCTTTAGAAATAATTGTGATTGATTATTCATGACTGACTGTGATACACTTGAGTGACATGAGCACTAAATCATTTCATTAGTGAGAAAGGTGATGTGAATTTTTGAAAATCCAATTTTTGACAATTCAAATTTAGTGAAAAACAGAAAAGATCCAATGTGCCTTGATGTTTAAGACAACACTTTGTATCAGCGTCTTTTACAATTATACTGTGAATGTCCTACTCGCCAGACCTGGGACACATTGAATTATCAGTGATCAGGCATGTACTCTCCCAATATCTACAAGAGGAATGGAGCAAAATTCCTAAGATAGCAGCTCCTCCCTGGCATAAAGAATACATCACAGATGTAAGTTGTGTAATTTTACCAGTGGTATTCAGAAACGCTACCAGCACAATAGACCCACTGTTAATCAAACTCTATTCCTGAAAAAAGTCAAGTCTATTCAATAAAATTTTGTAGCACCTGATACAAAAAGACTGTAGATCTTTTGCAGTTATACAGTAAGTGCTTTCTTTTGATGCTCAATATTTAAAAAATAAATCAGGTAAATGATTCCTTTTGTGTCAGTTTATTGAAGTAATTTGTTTTGGTTTGAACTGCCTTGATGAAAATAATTTATTTAAATTCTAACACAAGGGCTAAAAATTTCTTTACTGTCTAAAGTAAGTATAGGTTTATACAGTATACTGTATCTAAGTTTAGTATAGGCCACCTGCATTTTCTGTTATATTTTTTTCCAACAAAAGTATTTGATCCCTTTATGAAAGAATGCCGTTTTGAAATAACTATCTAATGAGTTTTGATTTCTTATACTGTCCATTTGTTACTTTATCCTCCTATGTGAAAAGTGATTGTTCTTTGAAACCCAGTATCCACAGGTACGCCCACATAAGGCTAGGAGTATGGACAAGTACAGAAACGTACATAATCTCTAGTGTTTCTCGTTCAGCCTCACCAGTCTTTGCAGATCTTGTCAAATTTTAAGAAATGGCTTAGAACTCCTAGCTTCAGATGGTAAGTGGTGTATCTGGGAATTGAGTCAACAATGCTAATGGACTGTGGATTCAGCTTTGTCTGCATAAGCACTGGAGAGCCCTTTCTCAATGAAAAATTGGCAGTCAAGCATTTTCAATTTGGTGTTGTAGTCTGAGGGAAAGAAAAAAACAAGGCTTATCCCCCAGCTTCACAATCTTTTTAATATTGAATTGTAAGCCTTAAGAAATACCTTATCTCTGGTTTGCAAACAGATATGTTTTCATTGCAATGGAAGCCCTGGACCAACTCCTGATGGCCTGCCATTCCCAGAGTATTAAACCATTTGTGGAGAGCTTCCTTCATATGGTTGCAAAACTGCTCGAGTCAAGGGAACCTGATCTGCAAGTCCTTGGAACCAACTCTGTAAGTAAATCCATTCTTTTGCCTTTAATTAAAGATCCGCCTAGAGCCCAGGAGACACAGCTTGCAACTTTGAGATCCTTGCATTTATAGAGGAGCTCTGGGAAAGTTACTAGGGTTAAGCGCCACTCTAATTCCTGTGGAGGAAAGATTTAAAAACCTTGAGCTGTTGCAAGCGTATGTTGAAAGCCTCAGCACAGTCCTTTCTGTCTGGTCTTTTATTTTATACCCACAATACCATTTATTGTCACTCTCCAATTCTTTATGATGCCGTTTCTCTGCATCTGTTTCCACTATTTAAACATGATTTTACTGTATACTGGATATTGTATAGCGCTCAAGTTTAAAACACTTCAATGTCTCCAAGTCTTGTCTGGATATATGATATCAAAATATATAAATGGATAAAAATGTTAAAAAAAGGATCACTATTTGTGCAAACTTTTACTTGACACCAATATAATCGCGTTTTCTGGATAAATCCCAACATACTGCAGTTCTATTTAAGAGTTTGATGGTTAAAGAATAGTGTTGATATTGCAACATTAATAGTGATCTATAGTGTGTGAGGCGAACGTGATAACCAATACACTACGGAAACGGTAATAGTGACCTATAGTAATCTACAGTAATTAAAGAGAAGAATGGCAAGAACAGCCAACAGTGTTTCTAAAGCAGTGCTCTGGAACCTTCAGGGAAAAGTTGATTTTCTAAATATTATTTTGCGTTGACATTCCACTGAGGAATGTTTCTGCACAACATCTACTTCTAATATACTTCTTAAAGATTATATTTTTGGACAATGTTTAGCCAGCCTTCAAAGTATTCACCCTCTTTTAATGATGCCCTGTTTTGTTGAAGTACAAATTAGGAATATATGTTTTTAATCTGAATTCTTTTATTAAAAAAACAAAACAAAAAAAAAAACCGAATGCTCAAAATTAACATTTTCCTGAAAGAAAACTGTTTTTTAGATTTTTGTTTGCAATTTTATTTTTAACAAATAATAATCCTTTTTTCCATTTTTTTATCTTTTTTTTATTGTTTCAGGAATACAACTGTTAGTCTCTCAACTTTCCCTGCGATGAAAAATAACTTTTTATAAACCATTTTAATGTCCATTTCCTTCTGTTTTTTGCACTTTTTTTATTTGCTTTAGGGATTACTGCTGTACTGTATATACCTTGGTTTTGTTATACAAATCTATCCCTGCATCCTGACTATAGAAAAGAAAAACAAATGAAAATGCACAGTAAAGAAGTGTTGTGCATTGCTGTGCATCTGTTTGATGAAGCACTTGTGATGATTTTTTTTCCTAGTTATTTCCTGGTGTTTTGCATTAATCCACTGAAAGCAACATTGAACATACTGTATGTATGAAATCAAAAAGAAAGGAAATTAAAAGGTTTTCTTGGATAATTTTTCTAAGAAGCTGTTTATAGCTGCCCATTCCTGTCGTTTCCTTGTCAAAACATTTGCTGTCATGCCTGTGTTGTGGTCTCTGCTTTTTCTGATGACCTTATCATTTGTCAGTGTCACCTGTCATTACAAAAGTGTTCTGAATGGAGGAGGAAAACTAGTGTTGCACAAAGCCGAAACATACTTTAGCACATATAAATTGCAAATTGTAAATTTCTCTGGTAAAGAGAGAGTTACAGTCTACTACTGTAGTAACAGTACAGTATGTCATGGGCAACAATTGTATATGACATTCTTACAGTATTATGATGTTACAAGGGTCTCCATTAACATTCTTTCTGTGCAAGGAATTATGGGTAATTGGAAGTTCAATTTTTTTTCAGGGGTGCTCATTTTTATGAATGCTGTATGAAAGAGATATTTCCTCTCAGTTGTGAAATGTTACCCCCATCTATGGATTTTGCAAAGTCTTAACTGAAAAGCGTGACACAAACCCTCGTCTTAAAAAAGTCTGAAGTTGTGGATAAGAAAGATTAGTTTTAAGCATACTCCTGATTGTGGCATGCAGGGCTTCCTTTAACATACAGTATCCAACCACTCGTAGTGAATCCATTTGCCTTTTTTGAAGAATGGTTCATCAGAACACAGTGACCTTGAAGTGGGAAATATGGGATACTGTAGCCTTTGAATTAGTTTAATGCTGTAATGTTGATCTGTTGTAGTACATGTACAGTACTGTATATGCAGTACACACATATGTGCTCAATGTTTAAATATGTACTGTCCCTACGGCTACAGCATAGAGCTTTAATTGCAATAAGTAACATAATTTTTAATGCAGGAAACAGGTATTTGTAGTGACATTCACTAGTTCCTTGTTTGCAAACCCTGATATCTCTCTAAATGTGAAAACAATCAAAGCAAATTTAAGCTCAGATTTTCATTTCTCCCCAAAGCTGCCTTTCCGGTTGAAATTAAAGCAACGACTGGTGTTTGGATGTGGAAGTATATTCATTATTTATGGCTGGTATTTAGATGTGGATGGAGAGCTTGTGCCCTGAAGTGCAAGTGATATTAATTATATGGCCCACCAGATTTGTTTGCAGACATACTGCAATAAAATTAGCCTGCAGTATATGTGTTGAAAGTGTTTGAAGATTGTGAAGTTTTGTTTCCTCTGATCCCGCAGTAAACCTTCTATTAAGAAAATGTATTGCCTGTGAAACTGTGTTTTTCACTTCCTTTCTACTAGATTATCATGTCGAAGAAAGGCTTGACTATCATACTTCTTTGCAATCTTAAATGAAAACCAGTTAACTATGTAAGCTAACAGGCTTTATTAAAGTAATGCAACTTAATTTGGGAAAGCAAATGCAAAGTGAGAGGAAGAGAAATGAGTTCTACAGTGGACATTTCAGGTAATAAATATTCCTCCAGATCTGTATCTGAAGATTGCTTATTTGAGTCATTTTTTCGCTTCAAGAAAGAGATTTGTGTATCATTATTTTAAACCTCATTTTACACACCACCACTACACACCTTAACTTTCTTGGTGGTAATGTCTTCATGACTCTCATTCCATTTTTATTTAGTATTCTCTTTTACTCTTGAAAATATAATTTTCCACAAAATCTCAAATTAGACCTGCAAACAATTTTATGTCACGTTTAATTTTAAATTGCTGATGATATTGGTTTATGTAAGGGAGGGGACACATCCACAAAGAAAATTACATTATCTGTTTAATTGCTTTCAATTTATGTCATACTGCCTTCAATTTATACCTCCATGTAAATCTGAAAATATAACTGAAGATGTGAAAAATGAGAAAAACTTCAGTAGCACAAATCTCTTAGCATAAAACATCCTTAAGACTGGGCATAAATACAATCAGAAGATTTCAATGTCAAAACATCCTGTATTTTGTATAGTGGAAACACTTCTGGTTAGCCAACAGATTCATTGGGGCATTCATTTTCTAATTAATTTTGACGCACATTCCAAGATCTTACTTTGCAATGTGGAAAATGTTCCTAGAGAGTAGTTGTGGGACTGATTTGATATTATATACTCAATGTGATAGACTCCTACTTTATGGTTGTCACCTATAGGAATTAGCAGTAATTCCTTTTGATAATCTGGCCTTTCACAAAAATTAATGTTGATGGCTAGGGCACCACGCGTTCTCTCACAACGGATTTGTTTATTTAAGAGGAACAGACAACAGACGTACCAGAGACTGTTATTTATAGTAAATGTCTGGAGCTCCTGTCAGTCATATCAATCCCTTTTGATTTATGCTGTTGACGACATGTATAAGAGATTGTAATGTCTGCTTGTTCCCTCTGAATTTTCTGTCTTGTTCCCTTTTGGTTTCAAAAACATGAATTACAATTTTCAGATTTTAGTTTGTATCATCTTGGTCTTTTTCTTTATGTCCTTAAATGATTTTACCTGATTCACTGTTGATAAAATGAGGCAACCTACTAAATTAAACCTTACATGGATTTTAATTTTATATAAGTAAATGTTAATATTTACCAGAAAGGACCTCTTGCTTCCCAAATTGCCTTTTAATGCCAGCAAGAGAGGAAGTCCATATAACCTTGATTAAGTGGTCTTGCTAATCCTGTCATTATTTTTCCTTTAAGAAATGTTCAGGCTCAGAGAGTCTCCCTGAGAGAAAGTAACTTTTGCCTTTTGTTATTGTGCATTAGACATAGAACATTATTGCAGGGATAAGAAAAAAGGATGACCTTTCATTATAAAGAATTAACAAATTTTTTTCTTAAACAAGTTATGCTAATAATTCCAGGACAGATGTGAGAATGTTCAGTGTTGTTAGGCAGTTTTTATGTCATTAAACTGCCTTCAGAGTTTTAGATGAGAACATGAAATAGTTAATAGTAGTGAATGGCAGGTGTTAATGAATTCCATGAGCACATGAGCAGTGGGTCGCAATGTTCAATTTAGCCAATGCTAGAATGCCCAAAAGTAATGAACCTTTTAAATGGTTTTACATACCCTGCCTAAGAGAGTACTATAAATAAAAAGGTTAGAATACTCAGAATAGCTTGATCTTCATTTGTATTCTTTCATGTTGGATGTTAAGAGTAATGGAAATGGAGGTTAAATAATAGACAAACAGTATTGAGTCCTGATACCATCCTGAGTGCAAGCAAATTGACAATTAATAAAACTCCCCTACTATTCATGAAATATGTCACATTTTTAAATGTATTGTGATAACTTAGTGGTAGAGAAATAAATAGGCACCACATTTTAAAGTTTATTGAAGTTAAACTAATATTTATAGACCAGGTACTACATAGTGCGATTCCAAAACATAGCATCCAGTCTTCCATACTCAGCTGCCAATGTTAACAATCTCTAATTAGTATTTCACATAAATCTTTATGTGGGAAACAAAGACCATTTACATAAAATAAACAATCTTCAACAGGAATGTCCACAGATGCACTGTATTGTTCTGCCTTAAACTTTCCTTCTCCTGCACGAGTCTAAATATTTTCTAGATGAGAATGCACTGTTGGCAAAAGGACCAAGGAAAACCGTGCACAAAGGATTTCAAATTGCCCGACAAGAAATGCTCTATTGCACTGCATTTTTCATTTCAAATTGATTTATTCTGCCTTTGGTTTTGAAGTGGCCCAGTATGAGATTAAGGGCTTTAATCACGGAAGTCCATTGCTCATGTATATTAGGCCTAGGTGGGAAAAAAATAGCATCCTCCAGTTTTTTTTTACACTTCTCAAAATATTAACTTTGACAGTTTTGCCTATTTTCCTTTAAATATAAATTAAGTTTTATTGTATTTTTGAGTCAAGCCGTTATCAGCTGGGTTTTAGGAGACTTTATAGTGTGAAACTTATGCACCTTACTCCATTTGTTTAATCATATCTATATTATAGAAGTAATATTTATCTGTTCCAGAGACTTCCATTGCATTTTCAAATTGCAGTATGTTATTGGAGATTTGTTTTTGTTGGATTTTATGAGAGGTGTATGTAAATAATACAAGTAAATGTAAATAAGTAAAAAAAGTAAATGAGAACCTTGTGTTTTGGAATTCTATTATTTATAACAAATATGACTTGGCTTTGTGCCGTGCTATTTGTTAAGCTAGGCACTTGTAATCTATTACTTGTTCTGTTCTGTGATGTATTTTGCTCTTCTTTCATTTAGAAAGGTAATCTGGGGTGAACTCCTGTATATATTTTGTCATTGATTTTGTCTTTTCCAACCTTAATCTTCACCACACTGACCTAGGAGGACCAAACTAAAACCTTCAGCCCAGGTCATCAGGCTTTTTGGAAGAAAAAATCCACTCCGTCTGTATGATCCTCTTAGAGGCATTCAGAACGGTTTGTTAAGACAGTGACTCCTTTAGTGGCAGAAGGATGGAAAAACGAAACCACGAGCTGGCGATAGGTTGGCTGTGAAAATGGCATGTTGAAGTTCCTCATGTTGATTTTTGTGAGCAAGTGAGATTTGAAGATCAAGCTACCAAACCATGCGGAACAAGATATGGTGTTGTAGCTGCTACCCTGGCTTCTTTCAAGAAAAGACTGAATGGGATCCTACAATGAATTAGTGTTTAGTTACCAAAAAAGCTAGTTTGACTTCCTCCAATTTGTAACCTTTCTTGTGTTCTTTTTTCTTGTAGTGGGCAGTGTTTGGAGATCCCCTTCAGTTTCTTGGGTGGTTCTGAATTCAGCCTGTGAGAGCTGCTTGCTTAAAGCCCTGTTTCTGCACTTTAAGAACTGTGTTTTGAAGGTCTGAAGGGCCTGTTGAATTTTGTTGAGCTCTCAGGGGTCAACGCCATATTCGTGTCCCGATGCGACTTCCTGTTTCATGTCAGTCAGACAGAACAGAAACAAATGAAGATTTTATTTCAAGAATAGGAAGAGCTGTGCTTGAATCCATGTTATCTGTGGATAGAAACCTGCATTATTTGTTTGTTGCTTCTTATCTCACAATGGATTGAGGGAGTGGAGCCCTTTTTGATTATTCCACTGAGCATGCCAATACCTAGGTGCCTTTTGGTTATTAATTACAATGGCTGTATGTAAATCAGGCAAAATTACACAGTTGGCTGCTACATTTGTTACTACTGCGGCTGTACACTCTGTGCTGAATTACAGGGTTTGAAATGGCAGAGTGGTGGGGGTGCAGCAGTATATTGATCCAGGCTTCTGAGTGCTCTGTAAATAAGAGTAATTAAAAGGAGAGCTCTGATCCTGGAAGAGAAACAGCGGTACAGATACAGTTGCCCTTGGAAAAAAAGCTCTTTTATCTCTTTAATTACCTGGAAAATTGCAAGCTAAATAATACTCTTGATGTGCCCTGTATGTGAATCCAGGTTTCTAATTCCACCCCTAATCTGTTTTAATTTGTCTTCACTTTTTTTTCTTTTTCCCAGATGTGTCCTTTTCTACCATGTTGGAATGCCTAAATTTATTGTGTGTTGCAAGGCCCCATTCACCACTTCACTAAAGCATTTTCTCTACACTTGTTGCTGTACTGTAGTTCTCCAAGTGTTCTCTTCCTCTTCTGTGAAGGACAGGGGAAAGGTAATTAATACCTTTGGGACCACAGGTCCACTGTTGATAATTTAGTGCTCCTATAAATGCTTCAAATGATCTTTCTATGTCCTGTTCAATCAAACCTATTTAGAACCAGATTAATACCCATTAAAGTTCAGGTGCATAACTGATGCTGATCTTAATGCATTGGAACAGTCTTGATGTATTTTTGGTATGTACCTTTTGCTTTCCTTTAACCTTTTCAGCTAAGTTCAACAAAATAGTTACAGTAATTATACCAGAATGTGAGTGTACATACATTGGGATCCTAGGAACATTAAAACTAACAATGCTTACTTTCTGGAGGTTTAGCAGTCAGTCACAATAGACAGATTTCACAGTATATTTCCAGAGGTGAAGAAGATAATCCCTTCTCAATTTATTGTAGATGTTTTCCTTATATGGGTGTAGAAGTGTAGGGTGTGGGGATTAAGTAATGTAAAGCAGCAAATCTCATGTAACTAGACTTATATTTTGTAAGTAAACTAAAATCTCAAACAATCCAGTAATAAAAGCAACTTGCTAGTGCAGTTTAAGGCTTCAGGTAGATACTTAAGATGGGCTGGAATGAAAACGAACAGATGTGTGGACCTCCAGGATTAGGATGGGAAACTCTTGTCATAGATCAGTGGTTTCTAACACTGGTCCTGGAGAAAGTGTCCCTGCTTGTCTTCATTCCAGCTGAACTCTACAGTATATCTCCTATAGAGTTCTCCTAATTGATAAGTTAATTGATCTGCGTGCTTGTTTAGAATTTTGTTCATCTTCTTTCTGCAGTCAATCTGAAGTGTCAAAAGTCCCTTCATCAAGTGTACTTTTCCCAACAAATTCAACACAAAGAAATGTACGCATGCTCTCCTCAACCTTTGGCCATTCTTTCTGAATGATGAGCTCTTTCTAAACAAATCAATATGAGCAGAGACAGATGGGAATGAACACTTTATCAGAAACTTCCAACCTGAGTAATTTCAAAGAAAATGTACACATTTTCTTTGAAGCAAAGGTACAAATATGCTGGAGAAAAAGTGAGAAGGGTTGGGAATCTGTGCTGAAGACCATCATTCATGTCTAGCACAATGGTTGTGAGACAGAGACCATTGAAAGAGCCAGAGATTAAAGAAACATAAGTTGAATTCTTATGCTTCAGTTATTAAGCAAATAGCTAATTTAATTCCTTTATCTCAAGGATTTGCTTTGGATACATTTGTATCATTGCTGTTGAAGTTGGAGGACTGTATTAGATTGACTTTTTAAAAAAAAATACTTGCTCTAGCAGTTTTACTGACCTTTTGTTTGCAGTGAAGTTAGATTTTTTTTCTGTTTAAAAAAAAAAGATTTGAAGCAAAAAAAGGCATTATATCTGGTGGATGCAAACAACCTTTTCTTGATTTTTAGGTTTAAGGTAAAATGATGAATGATAATGGAGCTAGCTTCAGGACATCCTTATGCAAATGTTTTGAGTAAGAGAACTTTAATATATCTTATAGCTTCTGCACTGATGTGCCTCTGCTGCAGTTCTTTTAATTATATTTGGTTTCCTTTCAAAATTTCCATCAAAGGAGAAGCAGTTTGCTTTGTGGTGCATTTAAAATGGGGAAAATAACAAGCTCCTGTTCTCTTTCCATGTCTGTTTTCTTCAGCCCCTTTTGGTGTCTTTTTCTTATTTGTCCTAGTTGGACAGGAACCGAGCATTTCTGTACCCTGTCTCAAGGAGTATTTCACCACTATCAGACCTGGGTTTATTTTAACAAGCCTATTCTTGTTAAACTGTTTTAATCCTATTTTTCAATGTGCACCTAAGAACTTTGTTTTGAATTGTTGAATGAAAAGTATTGACCATCTAATTAGTGCATTAACTTTGTTTAAGACAGGAAAGTAATCTTTTATATCTTTGTAATATTCATCAACATGTTATAAATGGTACCATGATTTTAATATGAAATGCTTTCAGACTTTGAATAAAAGATAAATGATGTTTGTGGGTTGACGTGTCCACCAGGTTTCTGTAGTTCCTGTTGCATGGCTACCACTGGACACAGAAGTCAAGCTCCCTGAACCATCAGCAGCGGTCAACCAAATGTGTAAAACTACTCACAGTTTGCTAATGATACACTGTAGCACAGTCTTCAACCAGCAATGTGTGCAGCACGGGGCTCAACTTGTGCTTTGAGCAGGTTTTTTCACTGGATGTGTGACTCCGGAGTCCCTTCTTTAACAAAGTGTTGTGGTCCATTCCTGCTGTACCAGTTCATGCCATGGCCAATTTGTATATTAAGCACATACGGTGTTGTCAAACCCTCACTTATGGTCTATTGTATTTTGAATCTTTCCAGTTTGTCAAGTTTGCTAATATTGAGGAGGACACCCCTTCCTATCATCGCCGGTATGACTTCTTCGTTTCCCAGTTCAGTGCAATGTGCCACTCCACTCATGAGGATCCTGAGACCAGAACCAAGTGAGTATTCACAAGGAGGAACATACTGTAGATCCTGGCATCCTGCTTTGTGACTGTTCAGCTGATAAGGGTTAACTCCTGCTAGTGCTCTTGGCTGGGTCTGAGGTGTACATATATATTACACAGCCCTCCCATTATAATTTGTAGAAGAAACCTACATTTAGAATGTTTAGCTTAATATTGTTTGGCAAATGGAAGTAACTGGGTCCCCTTGATAGTGGGTCATTTTATAGAACTTAGAGTTTAGCACATGCCTATTATTTTGTCCTAGTTTTTCCTGAAGCATACAGGTCATTATTTTAAAAAGCTTTTTTATTGTTCCGATAATAGGTACTTAATGAACATTTTGACACTACTGCATAAACAACACCTTTCTTTTATACTGTATAGCACGCAGACACAGAATTCCCAGAAGTAAAGTTGTTCTACATTTGTTAGGATACTGTAATTCTTCTGATGTGGCTTGGAGAACGAAAACATTTTTTCCCCTTTAGGTATTACAGTACATCTAAATTGAGCAAAATTAGTCTGGCAAAGTCTGACATGCCCAGTATGTTTTTATTTTATTCAGAACTGAATGCAGCTTTAAATGAGAATGCTTTTTTGAATGTATACAGAGTACTTCCTGCTGTTAACCACAGACACTGTGATTGCTTTTGTTTAAACAGTATTGAACATATTGCTGAAATATCACACCAAAAGTAATTATACATTTAAATATACATTTTGTGAACAGCTCCATGGAATATTTAATGACAGTACTGTAAGTAGTAGATCAGTCCTTGGTTTAAAATATAATTTAATAGACAGCATCCCCCTACACACAACTCAGTTTCATCACACTTGGGCATTTGTTCCGAATTTCTGGTCTGGGCATGGTGCCACCTACTTGTCCACCAGTAGCCTGATTTTCCATAGAGATCTCTTATCAGAGTCTTTTCCTGTCTCTGTCTCACTCTCCTAACATCTGACAAAATCAGGCTCATGGATGGTATTGCTAATAACCCCTGGGCATTCTTTATTCCTGTAATTTCTTATAACTGTAAACCCGTTTTGGAAGATGCTGTGAATTTAAAATCTAAAAGAAAGCCTATTCCTTTTCATATTAAAGACGTGCTATAGTCAGCTGAACCAAAACCATGGATTAGCACCAAATCTGTGTCACTGATAGTAGATTTTGCATAAAATAATTATGTTTTCATTTAGTGATTTGGACATTTTATAGTAATTTAATGAATTTATTACCCCAAAATAATGGGGTATGGATTCTACATTGAGTTGAGTTGCTATCCAGATTCTGGGTAGTTCGGATGGAGGGGTCTTCTGGATTTTGTTCTGTCACTCATCTCAATTGCTGCACATTGTTTAGTCAAGGTGCCTTAAGAAGTACACTGCTATAGCTGTACAGGATGGCAAGCTAACTGTGAAACACATTGTCTAAGTAGAACTGGAAAGCTAAGCATTGGAACTGCAGTTGCAATGGAAATTGCCAGTAAAACAAAGGCATTAGTCTGTCAGAGAAAATGTATTTTATAGGGCAGCAGGACAGGCAGTCTACATAATCAGTATGCAAGTGGGAACAAGGTAATTGATGTCCAGTTTCTGTTCTCCATTAATCTCCCCAGTATATTAATGAAGAGTGTTAGAATTTATGGACCTAAAAGTTCACATAATGCATTGGGCTCCTGGAAGAGCAGCACTGAGCCTGATACGTTGTGCAAGCAGAGCACATCTGTTGGTACAAATGAGGGATCTTTTGTGAGATTTTGATTTTTGTGATTAAACAAGAACCTCCATTGCAAACAGCTGTTTGTCAGATCCATATCACTGACCCCATCCATGAAACCTTTAACCATATACCTGTACATACACTAGCCATTCACATGGAAATATTCCTGAAGTATTTCTGAAGTTCCTAATGGGGTCTGCTCATAAAATCAAATATGTATCAACTAAAAATTGAAAACATTTTTACAATTATATATGTTTATCTGAGTGTATTTCCTCTTTACTCCTCATTTTTTCTTACTGTAGTACATATGTAATCTTTCTGACTGTCATTCATTTGTTTACTTTATTGCATTTATCCCTTTGTATTGACAGCTATCTGTCCCATTTTTTTTCTCAGCAGTATATACCAATGCAGCAATTGATATACAGCATGGAGCTAGCACTCTTGACAAGCTCTAAAGCTTCTGTGAGGCATTACTCTTATTCTGTCAATGAATTCTCATTGTGTTAGCTGATGTTGCTGTGATGCATTTCCTCCCTCTAGTGGAGGGTGTGTTGCAATTTACATACTGATGTTAATTGGATACTGGTGTATCCTCGGAAACAAGCCAAAGGAGAAATGTGTCCTCTTTAAAATTTGTAACCACAATGGAGAAAGCAATTATCAGTTTAATTGTGGCTTACAGATCTGTTCACATTTTTTTTTAATAAAAACAATTAAAGTAGATATACCTGTCTTTCAGCTAGAAATGCTGCTTTATCACCACTGCCTGTGTTACAGTATACATTAGTCTCCTTTATTGACTGGAACCTCTTTTAAGAAACTGCTGCAATGAAATGGAATGTGGAAGAAGTCCAATATGCCCTAATCCAATACCTGGTATATATTTGAATTGACTTCCTATTATATTCTTGACAAAGGAATCTGATCTTGCTAGTGCGAAAACTACTGTAGTAGTCTCATACTTTACTGTGCATCGATTTCCTACTTTTATAACACACCTTAATGGCAATTGAAAAACCATGTAGAAATAAAGGTCTTATTTCTCACCTTATGGCCATCCTATGGGTGTTTGTTTACGCTACTTTATCTTCGATAGTTTTATGTCTTGATTATCATTTGGCTTTATATAATTTTGAGCACAAGTCTTTTGAAGTATGTGTTGCTTCTCTAATTAATAAACTATCTAAACCATGGAAATGTGTACCCTAGGTGTAAAGCAAAGGATATCTATTGCTTCCTCTAATCATTTACAAGTTTCAACTTTTTAAGTTACTATCTGCAGGGTAAGTAACATTACTGTCTCCCATTGCCCATAAAAAAAACATTTTGTGTGTAGTCAGATGCAAAAGGTCATCTGGCTATGTGATATTATAGCAATCATTAGTAAGGAATTCATACTACTGTACGTGAAATAGTTCATACTGTATCTAAGGCGTTTATTCTAAAATTAATAATTAAGATTACGTTAATTACATATTGCACTCTGCATACTTGATGTGTTCCAAACTTATTTTTATACTTATTTTATTTAAAGGCAATACCACAATTGCAGTGCTGGATTAAGACCTGCCATTTTTATCATTTTAAAAATCACTCAGTACAGTAGCTGTGTGCTGAGTGATTCTTTGAATTAGTGAAGGGGAATTGCTTTGCTATATGGTTCAAATATCCTCCATGTTTCCTCAGAGAGTTCGGACTAATCTTGCATTATCATTAGAAGAGTCGTTGTTTTCTTTCTCTGTCTAGTCTTTAATGAGCTGTTAATTTTCCAGCATTAGCACTGCTTTTACATCGTGTTTTACTGCTTAGCTACAGTATATGTCACCTGGCTGTCACTGTGATACACGGTAAAAGTTTAGCAATACTAAATATTGGTTTAAATGTTATGATTTATCTACCGGTTTACAAAATCCTTTTTGGTGAATCGATCTCTTTGGATTGTTGTGCTATGCTGTGACAATGATGTCATCTGTCACAGGTGTGGGCTACCTCTATGGCCAGAGACTACCTGAGGGTTTGGAAGTTGTAGATTTAGCCACAGATACACTATATTATAATATAGGAATAATTCATGACGATTTTGTCATTAATCAATTTAACTCTCACCATTACCCCACCAGCATAAACAGGTTCAAAAATGGAAAGAGAATGGGTTCCGTCAGAAGAGATTAAAAATACATCATTCTGAAATTTGCAGTATGGAAAATGTTATGGTGTAGTTAGTCAATTGAAATCTGTATTTGGGTCTGTTACAATTTAACAGTGAAAAAACCCTTGCAAATGTAAATTGAACCAAATAAAACAAAAATTCTCTAGTCTACCGTATGGATATTTGGGGATTTAGTTTCTATGCTTGATGCTTAAAACTTGGTCAGTTATTTCTGTGCCTAACTTCCCTTTACTTGGTGGAGTAATATTGGACATTAATGAGCTCCAGCTGTTATCCTTCTGGGTTTTCTCATAGTCAATTGACAGGGGGTCTGATGGCAGTTATGCCAGTGATCTCAAACTTGATAATGTTGGGGAATTGATAAAAACTTTCACTCTGGAAGTCACTCAAAAAGTCTGATATGCTTGTTAGCATCCACTTTTGACACTTCCTAGTATTTAAGCATTGGAAAATGAGTAACCACTTTACTTTTCATTTGATTTGGAAACCACACTAATCTGATTTTGGAGGCTTTGACATTTGAATACAGTTTCTGGATCTCACAAACCCCACTCATCCAGTTAGTAATGCTTATTTCAAGAAAATCATTTCCTTTCCCATGCTATTGTATAAAAATACAAACTTCTCTGAGCTGCCACTCAAACTGCAGCACTTTTCCTAAATTTTATACATTTCTATGTATAAAAAAAGACAAAATTGTCTTCCCTAACTCTCTAGTTCACTTATTTCACTGTTATGTGAATAGCAGGATCGATGTCTAAAACCTTTATGCACAGGAGCCCTTGATATAGTATATAATATCGAGTAAAAAAATTAATCTTTTACTTTGTCTTCATACTTTTTACAAGTTTGCAAAACGTCAGCTGGATCACCAAACCTGTGGTCACATTTGCAAGTTTTTTTTCCAGGGGAGCTTCTGAAATTTGAATCAAACAGACATCATCTCATACAAATCTGATTATTTTGTTCCTTTTACCACTTCCATTGATAACAATTTCTCGCTTATTTCAATTTTTAGGCTCATTTGTCCCACAAAAATCAAGCACTGTGCTGTTTTCTTGATGTCAGTGCTGTCATTGAGAGCTAAGGAAGACATTTTAAGGCATTGCACTTTATTGTTCACCTCAGAGTACCCGCAGCTCACCTCAAAATGTAGCAATCTTGTGTCAAACCATAACTTGCTTCCTGAACCACCAACTGTCACAAAAATATTTTTGCTGAGCTTGCAAGATTTTTTCTCGTCCTTCTTTGTTCTTTTCTCACTTGTTAAGTTGACACCATAATTACGATTTTTCATTGTAAAATGATGATCCAGATTATACTTTAGACCACCTCATTCTTTAAAAACCCAACTCTCGCCATCAACTTTTTCTTGCACTGCTAGAAAGTGCACTAGTTCAAATAAGAAAACAGTTGGAGGTTTATCAGCTATACAATACACCATTGTCACTATACGATAAGATTGCTTTATAGGCCACATACAATTTCTTGCATTTGAAATTTCTTTTTTTCGCATATCCCAACTTGCTCTCCATGAGAGACAGACAGGGAGAGAAGCTTGGGGTCAGAGCGCAGGGTCAGCCATTAATACGGCGCCCCTGGAGCAGTTGAGGATAAGGGCCTTGCTCAGGGGCCCAACAGAGTAGGATTACCCTGCCGGATACGAACTGGCAACCTTCCAGCCACGGGCGCAGATCCTTAGCCACAGACCCACCGCACCGCACCCGTGTAACGCAATCCACTATGAATAAAAACTCCCAAGAATTCAGTGGACTAAAAGTGTTATGGAGTTGATTAGGCAAAACTTGGTCTTAACCTGCTTGGCTGAAGGCTAACCCACTGGCCATAGGATGAGAAGGGTAGGACCCCCGTGCAAGGTGAGGAGTGACCAAGGGGTTGCTGCAAAGGTGTAGATGGGGTGGAGGAGATAGAAGAAGACGTATGCGAGGGATCACGTACAGTACTTGATTGGTTTCATCCTTCCCAAACTTTTCAATTCAATTCAGTTTATTTTTACATAGCGCCCTTCACAACAAGGTTGCCCCGACTTTATAACTATAGATCATAACTACAAATTGTAACGTATAACTACATAATTATAACTTTTGTTATAATTTCCTCTATACATTTCATCCAAATGGTGCATCGTGTCTACAATGCTACAACATGCTTTTAGTTAATGAAAAACTGTAGGTACAAGTATCTGTTGCATTTTTTTTAATCTTTTGCCGCGGTCAGTAATGGAATATGTGAAGTACTGTTACAACTTAATAAACAGTTGGCAAAAAACAGATGTGGCCATAGGGCCATGTTTTGAATACCATGGTTTATCAGATGATCAGGAAACTCAGTTTTGATTTTTCCTTCTTTTCAGCACAGATTTGGGAAGTTGGTGTAGTTCATGGTCTTGGTAATAATTTTTTTTAAAAAAGGTTACTACCCTAACCTTTTAAACACGTGTTTTTATCTTGGCACAGTGCTTCCTGAGCTGTGGGTGTCAGAGGTCAAGTCTCTCACTGGTGTGTGCTGTGTTTTGCAGGATACGTGTTGCTGGAATCAAAGGTTTGCAGGGGGTGGTCCGCAAGACGGTGAATGATGAACTGCAGGCAATAATCTGGGAGCCACAGCACATGGACAAGCTTATCCCATCCATGCTGTTCAACATGCAGGAGGCTGAGGACTCTGACAGGTGAGAGGCAACACAGGTGGCTGCAGGGAAGACATTTCCCAAGTGACAATATGCAGTATCTGTTAATATTTTACTAGCTTTTTTATGTGTCAGTATTCCATCTGCAGCATAGAATGATAAAAAATCCTATTGATAAAGTCACACCTACGTCTTTATTTCTTATCTTTAAAAAAATGAAGACTTCCATAGAACCATTGATCTGAAATGTTTTTCCAAACATGTTTGTTTTAAACCTCTTAACTGTTGGAGAGATTAACAGTCTGTAATATTTTCACAAGCTGAAAGCTGGTGGACTTATATAATACATTTGCATACATTAAACGGAACGTTACAAGGGTTTCACTCCTGACTAGGTAGCGAAGCATAGTTTTAGAGTGAAAGCGATATGAGATTTTGTTGAAATTTGCCTGTTTTGGGAGGTTTCATTTATTTGATTTATCTGAGAGAGATATTTCTTCGCCGTTCAGTAATAAGGGCAAACTTGTGTCAGTTCTGCTTTTCATGTTATAGTTATAGGAGTTCATGGGTTATGACTTGGGTATACCTGTATTCTTTCATTGTTCCAAAATAATGCTGTTTAGCACTTTGTGATTGCTAACACTGAAAAGTATTCTCACTGTAACTGTAATTGAAATAAATTCAATGTCAGCACTTTAGTTAATATTCCATTTTGCACATGTTGTCTAACCATGACTCTTCATTCAATTTAACAAAACACACTTAGGCAAGTGCAACACGTCAAGCTCTCCAAAAATACCAGAAATATATGTTTTTCCTAGCCTGTGCTTTGCAATCCATCATCTTTGTTAGCAACCTGCTGACTTTTTCTTCTATGACTCACTGGGGGAAAAAGAAAACAAAAACTTTTGTGCAAAGCCTTATAGTATTAATCCCAGTGGTTGTGTCACAATTAAAGGCCGTGTGGATTAAACTGTCCAACAAAAGAAAGGAATTTCTGCCATGTGTTTCTGAAGGTGAAAATTGATTTCCTTTTTTTAATATATTTGTTTCTCGGCAGACTTTTGTATGAATCATCGGCTTTATTCCATAGCTTTGCTGACAAGTGCCGCAGTATAGACCTGACAAGAGGCTTGCTCATTGCAGCATACAGTAGCAGCATTCTGCCTTCATGACATTCCACCCACTGCCCCATGCTGCTCTACACAGCTGCCCATCTGGAAACCAGCCTGCTACTCCCCTGTCTATTCGTTCTCTTACATCTCAGTGTTAATCTCTCATTGTTCAATCAATTGTCTGCTTCGATAGCATTCCACCTCTCCTCTCCAGTTTCCCTGCTAAAGTGACTGTGGTGTCATTGAAAAAGATAGCCCGGGTGCCTTTTTGTTTTTGTGTAAACAGAACTGAATGTGCTTCCTGCTAATTATGCACTGACGTACTAATTGATGGAAGCCGATTTTGAATAATGAGGAGTGATGAGAAAAACATCGGATCTGTGCTTCAGAGAAATAATTGGGTGGCGCAAGTTTTTCTGTGTTGTAGTTATAGAAGTCATCTTTAACCCCCCCGCTAGAGCACTGTTTTTCAAATTACAGAACTCTGTTGCATCCCAACTGCAGTGTTCAAATAATTAGGCATTTTGGGTCATCGTACATCAGTAACCTCCAGAGCACCAAGTTTAGCAGTTAAGATCTCAATTTGTGAGTAAAAATATTTTCATTACATATTTATTTTTCTTCCAGTACAGAAGTATATTTCCTTTTCAGTGAGATTGGAGAATTGTTTATAATTGCCGATTTAGAAAGGGCACAGAAAAGTATGATTGTTTAAAACAAAGTCGTTTAAGTATAAAGGAAAGTAAAAAATCATTTAGAACGTGATTTAGATGTACAATTTTCAAAATCACAAGTGGGACCAAGTCAATGATTTTTTGTGTGTGTTACATACCATGATATTTTACTTTCCTTATTTGTATTAAAGTTAAAACTGTTAAACCTGTTGTGGTTTTTACAAGAATGACTTCATGACAATTTAGTATTATCCCTCTCCATTCACACAGTGAGCAGTTCATTAAGTAAAGCTTGTATTCTGTCTCCTACCAGCTTCATATCAATTTAGTCTAGTCTACAGGAGGGTTGAAATTGAATAGAAGACCAACATATCATTTTTTTTCTTTTTTGGGTGCGTAGTGATTGTACAGCTGGTGTGATTTGGGTTTAGATTCTGTCAGTAATATCCCTGTCTTTTAAGTTTTGGCCTCAGGAGATAAGACTGTATAAAGAGCTGCTGTAAAGCTGGCTGCATTGGTTCAGAATTTGACAGGGAAATAAAAGCCTTGACTGTCCTTTTTGAAAACACAGAAAGAAAGAGACAGTTTCTGATAGCACAGCAGCAAAGCTTTAGTTTTCTTCTGTATGCATCTATAATGATCAAATAGTAGAAGTATTATCTAACTGACAACAGTTTGATACGCAGGAGGCATTCACAATAAATAAGGTTGACAAGTTTCAGAATTTTTTTTTCTTACCAAAAATTTATGACGTTTTGCATTGACAAAACACATCCATTTAAGGACCTCATTCGCAAAGCAATTAGGAGTGTGTAAGACAAAGATAAGGGGCTTGTCCCTGGCATTCACAAACCACTAAAAAAAGTGTTTGAAAGACCTGCGTGATGCATGTGGTAAAATATGCATGTGAATTTATGTTTGGAGTTATAAATTTTCTTGTGCCCTTTTAATGATGATAATTTATATAATCATGGTTTTCACATATGAAAAGGGTGTGTGTAAGCTGTGTGCACGCTTGCAGAAGTGAAAAGCAGGTTCCTCTTATAAAAAAGCTGCTAAGCAGGAGGAACAACCATTTGCTTTTAGGATAAAACACCAGAGGCAGGAGAAAGGTCCGGAGCCCAAAGGCCAAAGCATGGTGGTGCTCATAATATTTTGAAATGCATATTATTTCAATAAATAATTTAGAATATGTCTGTAGTCTCCAGAAACAACACCTTGCACAGCCTCTCCTTTGCTTTCCAATGCATTCTTTGTCCCATCTTTCATGCTGTCTGTGTACATAATCATTACACTTCTACACTTGAAGATAATGGGTGTCTCTTTTGATAAGGAATGTCTTCTCATATGACCTGTATTAATGTACATGTGCATATTACTTGATAGTGTCTCTACTCGTAATATGCTAATGATTTCCATCACACACATTTACATAATAGACACTTACCTTTATGAATACAGCATATTTTTTATTACATGTTGTATAATACTGCTTACATGTGTATGTTATTTGTAGACTTTTGCTGATTGATTGCATATGAGGCCCTGAGAGAGACCACACAGCAAGCGAGCAGCAGGTTCACTAGCTGATTCATTGTTCTAACACAGGTGTCCTCAGCTCCTGTCCTTGACAGCCAGAGGCTGGTCTAGATTTTATTTTGCATGAGCTTTTAATTACATACCAGAATTATTTGCTTAATTGCACACATTTACCCTTTTCCTCTGGGTTGGTATGCAGGTGTTTTTTTGAAGAACCACGGAGAACCTAAGGCCCTTGAGGACCAGAGTTTTAGGATCCTTAAATGCCTACACTGCAATTTCCATTGCATCCTTAAAATTGCATTCTCATCATTATTATTTCTGATTGTTTCCATCTTACTGTTTTTGGTGGTTTACGTGGTATGTTTAACAGTGTCTCCCAACTGTAAACCTTTATTAGGAAAGTTTCATCACAATCCCCTCCCCCAAAAAATATTATGCGCATTTACTCTTTCTTCAAGTTTATACCTGCCTTTCATCTGTCTTGATTAAAAAGGATACAGTTTGTCACAAACCTTTGAAATCGGTTGGTAGTTCATAGTCATCATAACAACCTGACAGTTATGCAGAGAAAGAGATGCAGCTTCAAATGGAAATGGGCTCTGAATAAACAAGCAGGCAGATAATCATTATTTGCCTAGGCTGTACCTCGGGTACATCAATGATATTTTCAAGATGTCTACAAACTTAGGAGAAGTTGTCAAACAGTTCATTTAGTTTTCAGCAAGTTTTACCCAGTTTTGGCATATGAATATTTGAGGAAATATAGCAAGACTATATCCTGCTTTCAGTTCCATTATTATCACTGCCTACCAGCTCACAATAATAATAAAAATGACATCAAGAACTAAAGTCATTTTCTCATATTTATCTCTTCTGACACTCAGAGGCTTGTAATGTCACTATTCCTTATCCTCAATTTTTAAGGCTCACTTAATTTAAAACAATGAATTTTTCAAAGAAAAATAATGGATTGTGAACTGTGTTTTCACATACCATAATTTTTACAGCTAAATTCAGTGCATTGTGTATGGGCAGGGAGAATGTTTTAAATCACCAAAGAAACACACAGAAGAGAATTCATCTAGTCTGAAGATGCCACATATGACAGAAAAGTTAAGATAGTTATGCGGCAGAACTATACGATTCTAGTACGGCCCATCTTCAGTACCTAATTTTAGAACACCAACATTATTTTAAAATAAAAAGGGCAAGGACCTTAAAGTACAATGGTTCCACATTTATATTTAACTTCTTGGGCTGCTTTCTAATGGCCAGTTTCTGAATCTTTAGGTGCACAAGTAAAAGTGTAGTGTATATACAGTACGTATTCAACTAATTGTACATTGGAGAAAGTAAAAGAAAATTTGCTGACCAATTTGTGGAACACATGCAGTTCTTCAATAGCAGTAATCATAAATACTGAAGATGATCTTAATCTGTGTGTAGCAGGTATAGTGAGTTACAGAAGAGTATAGTGGATTGTAGGACATATGTTTCCCACAGGAATAATGCAGTAGTGCAGTGGTTAGCATTGCTGTATTTCAGTTCATAGGGTGCTGTCTGCGTGGAGTTTGTATGTTCTTTGTGTGTTCACATAGGTTTTCGGGTGCTCAGGTTTCTTCCCACAGTCTAAAGACATACTGGTGGGTTAATTGGCTTCTGCTTCAAATTGGCCCTGGTGTGAGTATGTGAATGTGTGTCTGTGTGTGCCCCATATTGGACGGATGTCCTGTCCAGGGTCTATCCTGCCTTGCGTCCTCTCCCCATGTGATTGTACTGTATTAGGACATTAGAAAATGGGAGGATGCATGCCTCCCACAAACAGCTCATAATCATGATCAGCTCATGATCTGGGCGCAGAGCACTTTGTAACCACCTGGAACTAACATTCTACTCTGACATCATAACACTATCCTGCACAGCCATTTACATGGGTTTGCTGCAGTTTTGGGTATATTTCCAGCTAAACAGCTGAAGATAGTCTCAAATGCCATCAACTGTTTTAATCATATAAATCTTCACAACACATTTGCACACAGGGTTAGGGTTAACTATTTTATTTTGGTTAATTTTGAATGCTGCTGTTCAGTGTTTAAACAAGTATAACTGTTCAGATAATTTAGATGTATATACTGTACCAGTTATGTGAGAGATACAATATATGTATATCCTGTATATGTCTTCACTTTACCTTAGAAAGCCCAGCAGCAGTTAATAGTGATGGTGTGAGTGGGATTAAAGCCATAGGAAAGACCCAAGGCTACTGTCCCAATGCATTAATATGCAAATTACACATTTTTTGTTGCAGTTACATACAGTTTGTACTGATTTATTTTAAACGGCAAAATCACAGTATTCTACATTTTTTATTCAAATTCATACTCATGTATTTTGCTAGTTGGTCTTGTGATGATAATGATCAGCCTTTACAATTTCATTTTCCAAGCTATGTGCACGCTGTAGCAAAGGAATCTTGTGAACTCTCAAGGTATTCTTCAGTACCAGAGATGTGACAACAGTACTGCGCCCTGTTTTTTCTAAAAAATAAATAAATCCATCTGTTTTAACAACAAAAAATGCTATATTTTATTTTAATAGTTCACCTTACATTGAAGCATAAAGAATGAGGGGAAAAAAGTGATAGGATAGCTGTGGTCAAGGGCATTTGATTCTGTTAATTGCTTCTCAGAAAACGATGCGTGACTAGAAACCCGAATGTGGATATAAATGTCTGCTAGGGGATGGTTTTATGTCACTAATTGGGCTTGTTACATGTCGCTCTTTGCAAGCAGCGCTATGTGATGGATCAAACAAGTGGATTTTAGAATGACCTTGAGTACATTTTTAATTGCTTAAATATGTTAAATCTTATTCCCTTGTTTTTTATTTCACCTCCAGAGTGTTTTTACTAGATCATGTTTTAAGGAATATCTTATTTTCTCACTCATTGTGTGCGTGCACTGTATAACAATTAAGAGGATTAGTTGTGTTTTTTTTCATTCTGTTACTTTGTAAAGTAAAGCATCATTAAAATCTGTGTGGGATTGCACCTCTGAATATTTCACTGATTGATAGTTTTAGATTAATTTGCTGTGTGGTGATATTTGTAATGCCTGGTGAGGAGACACAGACATGAGGTGAGTATAACAGATTATTTGTGACATTGGATATTGATCTCACAGCCCTTGTCTTTCACGCACCTTAGTGGCCATATCATGCAGTGTCCTTTCATACATCATGGTCTGTTTAACATCTTCGGATTCTGTGGTCATGACTGTGCATTTTGATAGAGCCACTTGCTTTAAAAGTAACCATGCAAGACTATGCAATTGCAGTAGACCATGTGGAAAGGCTAAAGAGCAAGAAAAGGGTTATAGAAAGTACTGTTTATGTTTATGATAAAGCTTTTCATAATCAAGATTTGTTTAATCTTGACCATCATTCTGGAATGATGGATGTTATATTTTTGTATTTAGATTCATTTGTATTTAACATTTTAAAAAAATTAATGAATGTTTGTTTTGCACTCCCTGTTTTTTCCTGCCTACGTTTTTATTATTTCTCTGACTCCTCTGAGTTTTAATTAAATATTTGATAAAGGAACAACAGTAAAAAAAAAGGTCCCGCATAATTTTTTTATGTAAACATCTACAGCTTTCTGCTTGAGGAGTAGTAAAACTTTTCCACTAACTCATAAAGCAGTAATTCAGTTAGTTGTATCAAATACATAGTTCACAGTTTCCCATTGGCTGAAGAAGCCTTTTTTAACCTTGCAGCACAAACACTGTCCAGAATTGCATCAGTAATGTTCTGCCTCAAATGGATTCAGGGCTTTGTGTCTGGTTTGAAATTCTCAATTTGTTGCAACCTATAGGTTTATTTATCATCATCATTTTGTCAGATTTTAAGTCTAGTCTACTTCAACCCAGTATATCTGCAACACAATATATAGTTATTCATTAATACTGTATGTGTGCAGTACACAATGCACTTCAGGTTGTTTTCTGAAGCTTCTTTGTCACAAAATAGTGTGGAAAGTTAGTACCATGTAATATCTGTGGAGGTCCCAGAGCTTGACTGAAGTATTTAACTCAAAATAGAGGATAACGAAAGGTAGGTAGGTATGTAGTGTGGGCAGAAGAAAATTGAATTATCTTCTCTGGAGGAATTGCTGCCTACAGACCATCTGCTCCTGCTTCATGAGGAAGTTATTTGTCATCTAATTGTATCAGACTCAGGCTGTGCAGTAGTTTATTTTGAGCAATCTTTACATGGTTGTAGAATACTTCTTTCAGTTACTTTCTTTTGAAGAATTGGACCTCGGACTGTACCACACAGGGTTAATGTTTGTTCACGATGTTCATCAATTAGATGTCCTGTATTTCCTCTAGACAGGATCTTTAAACCCATTTTCCAAATCTTCCTTTTACCATTTCATAAATAGGGTTATTGTAAATAATGATACTCATTTGTGTAAAATGTCAGATTAGATGTACTGTATACGAGCTACCTTTAGAGTGTCTTGTTTTTTATTTAAAAATGTTGCATCATCTATCCCATTCTTTTCCTGTAACAAAAACTGTTTGTCTCAGATAGTCAACATATAAGAAATGTGACTTCTCTTTTCAGGATGTGAAAAGGTTCAGCTATTTTAGCCTGCTATAGTGTGTAGGACTTTCTGGTTACTTTTTGATGGTAAGGTTCCAGATCAGAAAAAATGTTTTTCACAATGTGTTTAACCAACGTCTGCATATTATTCTACAGGAAATCTTACTGGTGCATTTTTACAGTTTTACCATGACATTCTTAACATTTTGTCTGCTATTTATTGCTTCCCCATATTATCTAAGCTATGTAAATGATGTGTCAACATTAACATCTACGTACATCATTGTCTCATTTACAGGAATTTGTAAACGCGTAGTAAGGTCAGCAACTTTTACTTTGTACAGTAATTCTGGTGAAGAGTCAGGAAGATCTTCTGCTGAACTGTGCCCTTGACACTGTGGCCCCACAAAATGTGACACAGTGGAGGATTCCCCAACTAGCTCAATGACAACCCTGTTTTCTGTCACTTGCAAATTCTGCTCTGTGCTTAGGGTGTAAAGCATACAGCATGGGATCGTGAGACTACTGCAGTTCAGTATTTTGCTGGTTGAACCATTCTAGGCCCTTCACATTGCTGCATTTGTCTTCAGAGCTATATTTTGTACAATTAACTTGTCTGATGGCTGTGCAGTTACTGATGTTTTCTAAGGATCTTGGCAGTTGTACCAACCATACAAGTTTAGTTAAGTGGTGAAAATGGGCGAACAGTATCTCCAGAAATCTGATGCTTATGTGAACGTCGCATCCTTTTTTTTAAATTTACCATTTGCTTTTTTCTGTATTTGTTCCAACTGTTTGGGATTGCCATTTCCTAATAACCTCATCCGAGTGCCGCATCATCCTTACTAGCAGATGCATATATCCTTCAAAATGTGCCAAGCCATTTTTTTTCCACACTGCAAGCTCCCACCACCAATGAGAAACTACATCAAAGGGAAGGCAGATGCATCCCTTGCAATTAACACCTCCAGCTTGCAGGTGTTTGGTAAGCCACAGAGATTGCTGCTGCACTGCAAGCCAAGAAAACATTGCCTGGCTTAAAGCCATCCTGCCCTGGCAGCACTCCTCCTGTATCATGTCACCACTTGGTTCATCTCAGCCACAGCTGGTCAGTGACACAGTTCTGATACAAACAACGTCTGTGAGGTGGTCTTAACTGGATGTTCCAAGTTAGTAAGTTTAAAAGGATACCATTGAAAGAACAATGCGAGGCCGTTTAGATTTAGTTTTCCAAATCCTTCTATGTTGACTTTACCCCCTTCTGTTTTAGAAATTTGGCAGATGTGTTTATTTTTGTTTGGTGTGATTTTTCATCATCCAGCGATTTGGCTGGCTTATGCTTCTCATATTGTAAAGATGGAGGTGGTGTGTGCACAAATGCATGTCTCATAAGCGTCGCATACCAATGTACAGGGAGCTTAAATCAAAAGGCTGCAACTCTGATGCCTTTTCTTTCATCTTCTGTATCAGCCCTGGCATAACGTACTCTGCTCTTTGTGCTCTGCTTCATTAGAGCCGGTCTTCCCACCACTCCCTCGGGCAGAGAGAGAGATGAAAACCCCGCCACCTTGGCAGAGAGCTGTTTCAGAGAGCTGCTGGGACGCGCTGCCTACGGCAACATGAACAACGCTGTGAGACCTGTGTTGGTGTAAGTATACAGCCCATGGTGTAGAACACAGGGAAACGCATAACACAATCATAAATCCCAATAAAAATCCACATACCTCTTGTTTTTCCTGCAGCCAATACAAATGTCAAAATATTTTGGGAGAGGAACAGCAGCTTATAATGAAAGGCTAGCCCCTTCTCTTTCATGCATGTTAATACTGTACATACAGTAGGTGTAGCAATACTGAGTGAAGAGCAGCAGTGAAAGTCTATCCCGAGGAAGTGTATTGTGTGCTGCCTTTCCTAGGCTCAGCACAGTTATTCCTCAGCTCTCTAAGCTAGAGCTGTTTCCGTTTGACATTTTGAACTGGGTTTGATGGACTTTGCTGAAACCTGCTTAGCTCAGTCTCCAAGGTCGATTGGTTATTATTCCCGATACCACGTAAGTGACATACTGTATGCAAATAATGCAGATTTAAAGTAATAGTGTTCATTAAAAAATAAGGAGCTAAGTTACTACATAAATCTACAGTTAGAGCCATATTTGCAATATGAATTTCAAGGCAGTTCTGATGAACCCGCAGATGCAAAATTAGTCACACTTGTCATGTCTTGATATTAAATTGGAGCAAGACTAAATTTGAATTTTTGTCCCTGTATAAGTTAATACAGTATGTAGCATGATTTGGGGTATTAAACAGGGTAGAACGGTTGCTAAGAATTAGTGGTTGTTTTGAATTTTACATCTCACACTTTACTGTACATTCCAGCTAAGAAAATTCAGCTATTTAGATAAACCTCACCCTGTCTCTGCCGGTAGCTACACTTCATGTTCTGGAGAAGAATAATGTGATCTTAAGCTTTAAAAAGGTGTCATCAGTCTTAAAGAGAGCAGATTTCAGGTTCTTTTGAAAGTCGTTGACTGCTGTTCATTCTGAAATCCTCACTACAGATACAGTAATAATAGAAATTTAACCCAATGACAAACTGAAGGAATATATTTACATGAAATGGCCTGAGTGAAGAAGTCTCCCATTAAGGGAACCTCTGACATTTACTTTTCAGTACTACACAGCATTTTTGGTTTGTTCTCTGGCTTTCCAGGTTATCATATGCAGCATATGCCAAATACATTACAAGTAATAATAATTTCTTTGAAGACTTCCAAGCAGGATAATACACTTATCCATTTAGTCAATCTTGATGGCTGCTATCTGCAAAATGGCCACAACCTAATATATTAATAAAATACTTTTTTTCTCCTGCCTAAAATTATAATTCATGAAAGGGTTGCCATTTAGCAGCTGTTGCTTATACAGTAGTTAGCATTTTGTGTCTGAAAAATCCTTAAATACAGCCATGATTTTTAGTTAATATACCAAGACTAAAATAGCCTCTGTGTATACTTCACCATGCGTTTCCAGTTCACCCATGCTGCAGTCGCGTTCCTCTGTAAATCCTTAGGCCAGTAATTTATCATCCTTTAAAAATTGAGATGAGAATCGTTCTACAAGTAACTCTATTAAGGAGCAGTGTAGAGGGAATGGATAATTACACACACCTTGTTGCTTTTGTTCTCCAGAATATCAAACTTTTCTAGATCGAGCCAAAAGTCTTTGCAGGTGTTTTTCCACTTACTGCCTTCGTGAAAATATCCTTTAAATGTTCACTGTAGATCTAGAGCTGATTATTGTTCAGAATATTTATTTTTGTCTAAACATAGCCAAAAACTGGGAAGGTCTCTCCCCCTCCCATCTGACTCCTGGCAAAAGACTCCAGAAGTGAAATTGTGCAGAATTGATGGAAGTATAATGAGGACATTTCGCCATCCACAGAAACTCTCCAAACCTCCGCTGTCCTTTCCCCCACCACAGTGAAACAGAGACACTGAAAACTTTGCACAAATAATACTTACAAAAGCCAATATCCAAAAATTCCGGGGTATGGATTACACAGGTTCCCAACAAAGCAGCAACAATCAAACACAAGATTGGTTCCTGCTATTGTGAAAGACCAAGACCAGATCCCACTTTCTGCAAAATCAACTCGTTAAAGCATGATACAGTGTATCTTCTTCTTTGTAATATTGGACAAGGGGAAAAAAACATGTCCCCTGCAATTGCATTTGTGATGCATTTCTTTTAAGAGTCTTAAGGCTTTGTAGAATATTGGATAACCTTGTGCTATTAGAATGTTTTTCTCTGTGTGTGGGCAGTTTGTCATCAAGCTTATTTCAAGATTAAGTTTTGTTGGTTTAGAAGTCAGCTGTTCAGTGCCACTACTGCTCCGATTTAGCTGGCTATGTGTGCTTATCTGGAGACATGGGTTTGGGTGGAAAGTACACTGCTATCAAAAAGTTGTTACAAACATGGCACTCTGAACTCTTCCTGCTGTGATCATTCTAGAGTTGCCATCTTAAACAGATCAGATGTACAAAAAGAGAGATCATATGAGACAATGTATCTTATACATCAGTTAGCAGTACAAGTAGAGAGTATATCAACACCATGCCAGCATGGTGTCTGATATGACAGTGTACTTGTTTATGCAAATATACTGCATTATGGATACTTGCAGTGTTACAGTGTAGAATAGGTGCTCCACTGGTCTGTCTTGTCAACCAATATTTTATTGATTGGGCAAATAAACCTAGGCATTGGCAGACACAATTCTGTCTTCATCTTCTTCTTGTTTAATAGGAATGGAGTTCTCCCAGGTATTCATTCAGATAATAAATAATCTGCTCTGCTCTGCTCTGCTCTGATTCTTGAAAACTAGTACCATTATTTTTATATTTATTGCCAGTAAAGGTGATTTGAACTTTGATCAGTATTAACCAACTTTACCATCATATATTTTCTGAATTGAAATTAGATATATCCACAACCCTCAAAACATTTGCTTTGGTCTTAAAATTGGTCAGCATCAAACTGTATTTCCAGAATTGACTCATCATATAAGCATCTCTGGGAGCATCATCTAATAAAAATAATCATCATAAATTGTATCATAATTTAGTAGCTTGTTTTAAATTGTAGCATTGTAACTGGGCTTCCAAAGGGGTTTGTAATACTAGATATTTCTCCTAAAATAAAGTGCATATTTGCCTTTGTGCACACCTGAGATGAAAACATTTTATGGTTGTTCATGGTAGTAATGGTTAATCCTCAAATGTATTGATATGGAATCTAATTTCCATTGTAACCGTGTCACTACATATTTCCAATTACCCTGAAATTGGCCCAGAACAGACAGCTTAATTTCCACACCTGTACAAGTTATTTGACACTAAATTATTGCCATTAACACAAGTCTGGAAAAGAACATCCCAACTGGAATTAAATTAGTTTCCTAATGTACTTTTCCTATTAACTTGCAAAAGTGTTTATCTAGAGAAAAACTCTAGTGATAGCCCAGGGTTCTTCTGAGCCTATTATGAGGCCCGCAGAGGATTGCAGCAATTAACATGTTGTTTTCCCTTTATTAGACTTTTTTGCTTTATCAAAATAGGTTGTAGAGAAATCTTAAAAACAAAATAAAGATGTTAAAACGTATAAATAACTGGCCTACTTTTTACCATCCTTTTAGTTGTGTATACAATGTATCTGCTCTAACACTTTTCATGCAAGGACAATCAATATCAAGCACCATTTTGTATTCATGAAAAGGCTTTTCAAACTCCCATTTGATGAAATGGAACATACTGACAGAATTACCCTGATTTTCACTGTTGTTCCCTGTGAACCTACAAAAAAATGTTAATTTCCCTGTCCTCCATGTCTAGTGTTTCTGAAACATAGCAATATTGTGCGATGTAAAGTTGATTATACATTACTTACTAAAATAAAATATCTCTATTGAACCAGTTGGAATTCTGAAATCAATTCTTAAACATCCCTTAAAATAAACTAAATAAATGAGAAAACAATGTTATTTATCGGTGGTTATGAGATGAAAAAAAATTCTGTATATACAGTAGCAATTTGTGAATTGTATTTTGATGTATAAATGGACACAACAAATATGTAACATTTAACAGGAAACAAAAACATGGATTTCCTTCTTTAAATAAAGAAGGAAACCTTTATGGGCAGGGTTAGAATATCTATTTTTATAGGTGGATTTTGGATTGTGTAGGAGCAGAACGTAGCATAAATCCATATTATACATTGTTCAGATAATGTAAATATACTGTAGTCTGAAATTGCAAATTTAAAATATTCTTCAGTGACACTTTCCAGAAGCATGCAATTTCCTGAGAGTGTAAATATTTTTCAACCATGCAGTGGTCCTGGGGCATTTCAATACTGCTGCATGTAGTGAGGTCAAATTCATTTCAAAAGAAGACTGCTTTTTAATTAAAACTGCTGTTATGTAAAATGTAGTCAACTGCTAAAAAAACAATAATTTCATTGAGTTTCCAGTTACAAGTTACTGACGGGCTCAATAATAAGACAAAATAACTATTTTATTTTTTATAACTATTTTATTTTTATTTTAATTTTATAGTGCACTTGCCAGGAGCTTTATACTGCTTTATTTCTAAGTTAACATTTTAATTAAGGAAATCGGTTATAACCTTAGTTGTTTTGTGATAGGAATATCATACATGTAAAAGTTATGCCTCTTCGAATTGATATACAAATCTATATGGTTTTTAACATAAACATTCACAGTATATGTTTTTTTTTTTTAATCCCTTATCATTAAATTTAATGTTACTCTTTAAGGATAAGTGTGGCTAGATTATGGATGTATTTTGGATTTGACTTCAATTAAGCAACGTCTTGTAGCTGAATTAGAGTCCCAAGGCTGTAATTCAAAACGATTTCAAAATGAAGTACTGTATATTGGAGGCAGAATTTGCATGGATGGCATCTGGGTATGAACAGGGTCAAACCAGAGAGACTTGCAATAGAATCAAAGGTACTCACAAGTGAGCACTCTGATCACAAAGCAAAACAAGCTTTACAGAGATGGCTGGTGTATTCCATTCTGTGTTACAGAATTGTCCAGTGAGTACAAAAAATACAAAAACCT